TCCACTGACTATATACCTCACAATTCAGTTACTAAATTTTATCACTGCTTTTTATTTTCTCGTATGAGGCCAATCTAAATTACATCAATGGGAAAAACAATGGCAATATACAAAGATTAGTTGTTTTGGGGCTGGGGGTGACAGGCAAGAGTAATCAAATCTCTAATTCCCAATTTTCATCAGATGAAGTGTATGTGTGAGGCTCATACCTTTGTCTCATTACCCACTGGTGTTCTTTGCAGTTGTTAACTGGCATAACGTAGCGATTCCATTTTCTGCTGACAACACTGTCTTTCTAAATTGTTTTGTAGATTTTAATTGGGTAAGTTAATGTGAAGGCAAAAAGTAAGGTATTAATCTAATCGTTCTGTCACATTCTGACAGCTTACTGGCAGTTTCACATATGGCTCTCAATGCCTTCTAATTATCTATCATGAGAAAAATAATCTGAAGAGAAAAAGTATTTCCTTCATGAATTACCAAAGACTGTGAAAGATTAGTCCCTGTTCTCTAGGACACTACATGGTGGGTTAAAGATTCAGGTTGTAAATATTTCCATTAATGTATACATCATCTAATTAGTTAAGTGAATGCTAACTAGAACTAAGACATTATCACATCCAGCACAGTACTTAATACCTATGGACTTATCTTTTTTTACAGGCAATAAGCATCCTGTTTTTCCAATTACACACAGCAGAAGCTTCAGGTATTCAGTATTGCAGTAAAATGTGAAATTCAATGTCCAACTTTCACGTTAGGACACAATGTCAGATCTCAGTAATCTCTGAAAGACCCTAACTGACTCCTAGAGCTTCAAGGAAAAAAGACAGAAAATCTCCTCTGAATTTTGTAAGAAAAGGCAGGGGGCCAAGCCAACTCAATTCCAACTTGGGACTCACCCATGAATGAACCCTTTAGTATCATAAAGCCAAACTTAATTTAATCTTCAGTACAAACCTAGTGTATTTCCCCAGATCCTATGCTCTCTCCTTGCCCCCCTCAACTTCAGACAATCTTTTAGCACAGTTGTTATATAATTATTATTATGACTGTAATTTATAATTTTATTGCCTATGAATCTGCTCTTTTATCACTGACATTTCCATGCCAAAAATGTCCAGACAGACCCTTTTGAGATCAGCATTTAACACAGACTATAGTTGATAAAACTGAAACACAATGAAACAGTTAAAATGTGCATGTTACTTTTTTCCTTAGTTAGGCTACATGTAGGTCTATGTGTATGTATGTGAAGGGAAAGGAGAAAAGACTAAGGAAGCACTAGTTACCAAACCTAAATGTACTTTGTAACTGGAAAAGAAAAACCAAATGCTCACACTAGTGTCCCTTTTGTACAGTACTACAGTTACTGTAATTTCTTTAAAAATATTACTGAGAAACAGTAATAAAAAATTCGGAATTCAGAATTTATTTTAAAAGGAAATAAGCAACAGACAGCTAAATCATGATCTGTGAAATTGTAAGCCCAAATAATCATCAAAATGTTAAAAACAGGACATGGTTTTTGTGCATTTTCATTTGGTAAAAAGAATTTAATTTGCATCTGCTTTTGGTATGGGTTTGTTTTGTTGTTGGTAGGTGTTTTCCTTGGGGTTTTTTGGGGTGGGTTGTTTTTTTTTTTTTTTTACTTCTAGAGCAGCCTTAAGCTAAGAAATTAATATAAGGACTTAAGTCACAAACAAGGATGGAGTGATGTTCACTGATCTATGCTTCTACTGCTTTGTCCACACACAAAAACTATGACAGAGAGCAGAAAAACTGTGCAGGATGCTTTCAACGTGTTATTTAAAAATGGCACTATAAATGTTAGGATTAAGTAGTAAAATTGGCTCCTGAATTTTGTTGTCAATAATTTAAATGTATGATTTGTGTCACTGCACATATTAAAAGACTTAGTAATACTAATTGTCTCAACTTTAATGCCAAGTTATGATCAGATTAAACTGCTCATACTAATCGATCCAACCTCACCTAAAATAGATATAAATCCTAACTTTCATCAGAAGAGATAGAAGCATTTTGTCACACTTTAATTTAAGGTTTTACATACATAAATATACACCTAGATAAATATGTAAACACATGTACGTTTTACCTTGATTAGATAAAAGGTTGGGCTGTTTTACACAGTGTTTTAGACAGACTGCTTAAATGCAGTAGTTTAATACTGTAATAAAACTATTTCTAACCTGACTGTATATATCCATGGCATGCATGTAATGTGCTCAGAAAAACAAAATTTTTAGACACTGTCCCTATTCTTTGGAGTTGCTAGGAAACATTTTAGTCACTGCCATTACAATATAGACAAAAGTCAGTGTACACTTCAATCTCAGTGGTTTCTCAGTGTTGACTGCTACTAACCTATTTTATCACCAGAAATTCTACTAGCTCCATCTGAAATGCATCATCATCACCACAGAATAAACTCGCTCAGTGTGAAAGTTTTACAAAACACTTATGACTTAATGTGGGTCTATTGGTCAAAATAGCACTGACTGC